ATTCCACCGGTGTCTTTCAGGCAGAGATGGAAGCCGTGTCCTTCTTGCTTTGTGTCCTCTGGGAGAAGCCCTGCTTTATTTTGAAGATGGGAGGAGGAGATCTTTGGGGAAACACAAAGCTTCCCCTAGCAAAAGGCAGCACTCCCTTGCTCAAAGCAACGTGCTGTAGGGGAATAAGACAGAGGTGGGCGTTTTTCACCATTTTACTGAAAAAACCCACTATGAGGCCAGCAAAATGGCTTTGACATGATCCTTTTTGTATGGGACATTTCTAGACACAGCAGTTAATCTGCTATATTGCTTTTGGTTTCTCTACAGAATTGAGAGTCAAACATGCCCCAAAGAGCATTTCATTTCCTGTTTTATAATGATATAACTTCTAGATGGAAGTGCAGTATAGCAGAAATAGAAAATGCAGTTCTTTCCCAAATAATACCTTATTTTCCCTGGTCTAAAAAAACTTGCTGAAAGCTCTGTGTGCAAAACAGGAGAAAACCTGGTAGGTCATGATGTTGTGCAAAGAACTGACAAACAACCATGAATAGGGAATGATGTCTGCAAGATAAATGCCACAGGGAGAAAAGCTCTTCAGGCCAGACCTAAGAGGTAGGTAGCTTATGGATTAGGATGCTGGATGGAAAGAAGAACCAGAAATTAGCCAAGCTGAGGACTGCTGGGTCCAATAACTGGCTGGCTCAAAGGATGAACAGAGGAATAACGAGACATAAGAAGAGTCCTGCTGGATCAGACGCAGGGTCCATCTAATCCAGCATTCTGTTCACATAGTGGCCAACCAGCTGGCCATGGGCACCCATAAACAGGACATGGCTGCAACAGCCCAAGTTCCCCAGACATACTATTGCTGATACTTGAATTTGCCCAATCCTTTTTAAGCCATCCAAATTGCTGGCCATCAGTACATCTTATGGGTGAATTCTTCTCATCATTGAGTCTACTTTCCTGCTACTATCATTACTAGCTGCTGTCACCCCTAGTTCTCTTTCTCATCATTGCTACCACTTGTTTTGTTTGATAGGCAAATCCTGCTTCTACATCTCACTATTGTTTTTGCCTCAGCCAGTGCCAAAGATAGATGAACAAAAGGCTGAAGCGGTGAAGGGGAGGTTGAATTCCAGGGGTTTCCCAGTGGTCTCCTCCTTGGGGTGTGGGTCTTCAGAAGGTGTCCAGTCATGACTACCCTCTATGCTGTCCCTGCCCACCTTCACTGTCCATCTGCTATGCTGCCTGGCCCTCAAATCTCATGGGTGAATTCGAGTTTATCTCAGTGTGAAGTGCTTCCTTTTATTTGATCTTAATCTGTCATCAATCAGCTTTGTGTGAAGACTCCTAGTAGTAGGGGAGCTGGAGAAAGAAAGGTTTTTCTCTCCACTTTCTTCACACCATGAACAATTCTGTGCACCTCTATCATGTCTCCCCTTACTTGTCTTTAAGAAAACACACCTCCCCCCACAACACAAAACCTATTGCAGCTTTTAGACACAGGAGACCAGCTCCAGTCCCTTGATTATAGTTGTTGCTTTACCTCCAACCAGTGGCGACTGAATCAACATAAGCAGTGGCTCGAGGAACTAAGTGGCTTGAGGAGCGTGTGTATTTATTTCTTTTATTGATATTTTCAACTTATTTTCTACAATTAAATCAGTCCAAAGAACTCTCTAAGTATATAGCAGGGTGTTATAAAAAGAAAGAACCAAGGTGAGAGTGAGTGGGAATGTGAATGAAAGTCACGCAAGTGGCTTATTTTCTAAAAGCACTGAGAATTCTCCATTGCTACCAGACCAATTTATTCCCAAAGAAAGAAATCTCTTAATTCAATGTGACTGCATGTATGAAAAGACTTTTAAAATTAGGAACATATTGACACGGTTGTCTATGGAAAATCCTTGAGAATATTGGAAAATAAGAGTTTTTTATGGTTCAGTTCAAGAGGAATCTACTGTACATCAATTACTTTAGTGCCCTGATGCCAGTCAAAGAGAGGCTAGCATGTGGTTATAAAGTCATATGTAAAACTGCATTTATTACCATTTTAGGCAGCTGAAACCAATGTGTTTCCTGACTTGATGCATAACAGTTGCAGTATGGTTCTTGGGTTTTCAGTCTAGACAAAATTGGCAGCCCCTAAAATTTATAGCTGCCTGCTGTTGCAAAAATGTGTCAAAATTCAAATTTGCATAAAGGCTGTACTGTAATGGCCTGGAATCATCCCATAAGTGACTGTGTTTGCTTCAGCACTTGTTTTAAATTCTTTTCAGATTGTTTGGAATCCATCATGCTTCAATCCAAACATGGCCGAAGTCCGTGGGATAGCATTCCATAGCTTCCAAAAGGGACAGGGATAATATTTATGACCATGTTTGCGTAAATTCCATGTACAAATCACACAGTAATCTAAATAAATTAAACTGAAGGGCACGACAATACATAAATCTGAATTAAGTAAGCTAGTGAAATAAAACGAGAGTTTTCCATTGCTTTTTCTGTTGAACCTTTTTATCCTTTATGATTTTAGTGTGAGCTACATTGTCGTGAATAGCCCTCCTTGGAACTTTTTACCTTTCCCTGTGTGGGTACATTCCTCCATAGAATAGCCTTTGTCTTATGATCATCATTATTGACTATGGTTGGGATGAATCCTTCTGCAATCTGTCCCTCCAGAATCTCTGGGTTTCCCCTAATGCTTGGCCCAGTCCTAAGTCCACTAACCTTTCCTAGCAGGATGCTGCAGGATGCAAAAGAGGGAAGGTGTGAGTGGGCCTGCCAGCTGCCATTCCCTGTGACCAACTTTCTTCTGTACTCGCTACTTCCAGGTGGAGGCAGCACGTGGGGCGCAGTTCATGGAGTGTGACCCGCAAACGCTGGGTACCCTTACCAGGATCTTGGACTCTGAGCTGCTGCAGTGGAATGGAATCTGGGAAGCTGCAACTAGCTAATCTGATGGATTTTCTGCACAAAACTGATCTCTCACATATCTGTATTTTTACCCATATTATTGATGGCCATAAATCAACATTTCCTTGTCTATTTTCTTCAATGTGGTTCCTTGGATGGCAACTACAGTTCTTTGGACAATTGATGATCATCTTTTCATGATGGAAGGAGTGGGCACACATGTTGTTTCATCCCATTGCATATACTGGGGCTTCTGCATGGAAGGCTTGGATCACACAGTGATTGTTTCTCTCTATCCTCATGGGTATGAAGGGCAGCCTGAAATTATAGATGCCTGAGCCATCATGCATTGTTTTGGAGGAGGGGCCAAGACTGTTCTGCCCAGTGGGCCCTGCTTGGACTGAATCACCTGGAATGAATCACCTAGATGCTGCTGATCTCACTTATAGTTTGTAGCAGGTGATGAAACTGTAGTCCTCCAGATGCTGGACTACAACGAGGGATGAATAGAGTCGGTTCAATCTCTTCCATCCATGTTTTGCAGATTGACAGATACCTTTTATTATTCTGTCAGTCTGTTTGCTGATGGAATTGGCTACATTTAGGTCTATGTGGATTTTGTTCCTGTTCACAAATGTCCCCCCACATCCTTGATCTGGATTCACCGAAATCCAAGTTCGTTTGGAATGCGCTCCCTAGAGAAGTCTGCCTGGCACCGACTTTATACTCTTTCCGGAGCCAGGTAAAGACCTTTTATTCAACCATCATTTTAATAATTAAGGTTTTTAGATGCTTTAAGATCTTTTTTCCACAGTTGCATTTTCTATTCTTTTCCTTCTTTCTTTCTTTCCCTTAGTTTTATGAAGTGTTGTTTTATATTGAATTAATGCCTACCATTTTAATTATTGTAATCTTTTAAATCATTGTAAGGTGTCCTGAGCCGTTCATCGGAAAGGATGGGATATAAATGTTTTTAATAATAAAATAATAAATAATTTCTCTCACATCCCAAATTACAATGTTCATCAACAAAACTGACTTGAAGTATTGGACGGCCCTTGGATAAGACTCCCTTTCCCCTCAATCAGTGAGTCTACTTTCCCACTACTATCATTACTAGCTGCTATGACCTTTAGTTCTCTTTCTCATCATTGCTACCTCTTGCTTTGTTTGATAGGCAAATCCTGCTTCCACATCTCACCATTGTTTCTGCCTCAACAATGGAAAAAGGGGTCCCCTGAAGGCATGTGGGGGAGGTTGAATTCCAGGGGTTTCCCAGTGGTCTCCTCCTTGGGGTGTGGGCCTTCAGAAGGTGCCCAACCATGACTGCCCTCTGTGCTCGCCCTGCCCATCTTCATTGTCCATCTGCTATGCTGCCTGTTGCTAAACTTGGAGTCTAAAGGCATCTGGATGATCAGAGGTTCTGTACCCCTTATTTACAGATTGCAGACCCAGGGTGTGAGTGGCATTGCTGCTCTCTGCATATACTTCCTAGCAACAGGCAAAAAGGGTGTGCAAGTATTCTGCATTCACAGCTGCTAATAAATGAGGCCCTGAAGGTTTCAGCCACAGGCGCTGTCTACCTTTGACCGAGTTAACAACACAGCCACAGAAAAAGTGACAATTGCTGTTTAATCCTATAGTCCAGCTGCAAGCAAAATTAATCCTACCTCATGAATGGGGGACCAAGGAGAAATCTTGCCACAAGGGATTTATAATGACTCGTCTTTCTTCTGTCAAAACAGCAAAGGAAGAAAAAAACAAACACACACACCACAATATGTGCTGTCCTGAAAAAGCTTTCTCCTGTTACCCCAATTGTCCCATGTATCTGTTCGCATCCCAGAATTCCAACATAGAAGTACTGTATATACCGGTGTATAAGACAACCCTTGAAACGGGAAATTCTTTTCTTTTCCCTTAATGGAGAACTCACCTTCCCCTGCTTTTCATTTTTTAAAAATTGGAACAAAAACCTTTCACACTGAGGTCCCATTTACTAAGTCCCACAGTGAACTGCACCCGTTGCTTCCCTAAGCTATTTATCCACATTAGTCAGTGATCTTGCTAACTTTCACATATCTTACCTTTCGTTTGCGCAGAATGACTTGACTATCTGTAGGCTGCTGCATGGCTGTGTTAGTCTTTAAATCGGCCACACCTTCCACAGAGGGCACACTTGGGATGCCTTTGTTCTGAGAATCTGCGAATTCATTTGCATCCAGGTCATTTCCCTCTGGCAGGAAAGAAGAGCAAGGCGATGGGCCAAGATAGTCACTGGCACCTGCAGCAACTACATTGCTGTCACTACATTGATCAGAAGAAAGTTCATCAGGTAATAAGCTGCTGACAATGCTTTCATCCCCAAATTTAGAAGCACCTGCTGTTTCATACTCTTGTGCAGCTACAACAACATGGACCGTTTTCTCCTCAGACACATCTTTTTGCACATTTGGAGGCTCACAGAAATCTTCTTTTGGAGCATGTTCATTTTCATTGGAGTCATTGCAGTAAAGTTCCAGACTTTCTTCTCTGCCCTCTTCTCCCTCTTCCAACACTGCCTCCCTCTTTGGGAGGCACCAAATGTTACCTTCTTCCATCACTGATTTGGGATTTGTCCCAGAATGGGGTTCATTCATTTCTTCAGTTGATTCATAGGAATGTTTAGATTCTTTCTTTGCTTCTTCTCTGGGGTCTACATCCATGCAAAGTTCTACTCCTCCTTCTAAGCTGTTGCTTTCAGCTGACAGTTTGTCTTCATCGTGAGTGGACTGGTCATTGATTTTTGCCAGGGAAAGCTCCATGTCATTGTTGTCATCATCATGCTCACCACCACCACTGTCACCTCCAAGGGAAACATTGACTAAAGTCTCTGTGCTGTCTTCCAAAGAAAGACATACTTCTTCTTCTTGATGGTGATTGTCATTTTCATCTACCTCTTTGGAAACATTACCAAGCAGCTTCGAGGGGAAACCTCCCAGCTCTCCACCAAGACAGCAATCCGGCAAGGAAGCACTTTTTTCTTTATGGCCTTCACTCCAAAGTCCATCCTTTTCCATGCCTGCCTGAAGGTTGTCAGCTACTAGGCCATGCCTGCATAATATATTAGAATCAATGGAACTAAAAGGCAAGCCCATCCATTGGGACACATGCTCTTCCCAGCTTCTTTTCCTGATGGCTAGAGACATGTCATAGTACATTAGCAGCAGGTCCCAACATGGAATACAATCAGGGCCAGATGAAACATTGTAGGTTCCATGAACTTCTCCACAGACGGAAATGGTTTTACCTCTTGCATATCTGTTGAAAAGAAGAAGAAGAAAAAGAATGCTCTTGCTTCAATGTCCAAAACAGGAACAACAAATAGAAACACATATGAAAAAAATGTGTGCCAAAGCAACACTAAGTTGCATAGTTACGAAAGGAAAGATTTGGAGAGATGTTTTCTAGAATAACTTTAATCATTTTCAAAGGCAGAAGCTATAATCTGGTCTGGTCTCCTTGCTGATTACTCTCTCAAATGAAGTAAACAGAATGTTATAAACAACTCCATGGGAAAACAACGGGTTTAACAAGCCAGATTTTGACAATGACTCTCTCTCTTCATGGCCTCTGTCATAAGACAGCTATTTCCATGGTTTTAAAAAACACTGAGTCTTGTGAGTCTTTGTATAGGACACAAGTCCATATTTCCTATTCATGAAAATAACCAAACATAGCATTATTGTTTATTATTATTATTATTATTATAACATTTCTATGCCGCCCCTTGCCGAAACCTCGGGGCGGCTTACAACATGATAAAATACATTGAAATACAATAGTACATAATAAATTACCATTAAATATAACAATACAAAAAATACATTGATTTACAAATACAAAATTAAAATTATCAGTATAAAATAAAAATATAGGAGGAGAAAGAGAAGGAAGAAGAAGTTGCCCAGGCCAGATCATATGTTTTAACAATTGAAATGATGTTTAAATAAAAAGGTCTTTACCTGGCGCCGAAAAACCAGTAACGACGGTGCCAGGCGGACCTCTTTGGGGAGTTTAGAAGCTGAATTTGAATGAATGTACTTTGAACTATTCATACAGACTCTAAATTTTCCATTTACTTTGTAAATTTTAAAATAAAGGCTGACATTATTCAAAACTATAATCTTTCCTAATACTTGTTTTCTTTCTCTAATCTTCTTTACTATCAAATATAGACACAACTAAAGATGCAATATTTTATTCTGTAGATGCTATTTTATTTAATTTACTTATATACAACATTTACAGATTCCAGGGCTGTGAACAATAAAAGACAAATAAGGTAAAAATAAAACAATAGTGGAGTTGGATAATCTTCTGAGGAGGATGGTTTAACTTGAAGTCCTGCATTGTGCAGGACGATACACCTTCTTGGCCCTTTCCAACTCTACTGTTCTATGATTAAAAAAACAAAATAAAAACAAAATAATAGCCTGCAATTATGGAAGGCTTCTTGAAATAAAGATGTTTCTATGAGGGGCTACAAACAAGAAAATGTTGGTGTCTGCCTAGCTTGCACAGGAATGGAGCTGCCCCAGTAAGGGCTCTTTTCTAGGTGGACTCTCATGGAGCCATCGGTCCATGTGGAACCACCAGGAGTATGTCATCTAATGACCTGAGTGGCTATGCAGGTTGGAAGGTGCTCTCCCAGTCTCAAGTATGCTGGTCCCAAGTTGCTCAGGTACTATACACTAGTAGCAAAAGCTTAAACCTGGTCTAGTAGGAATAGGCCACCAGCACAGTTCCCTCAGCAAAAGGAGTTGTAAAATGAAAGGATGCAGCCCCTTACAGCAACTGAACTCCTGCATTCTGCACTGGTTCCAGATTCCATTCCAGCATCTAAAGGCAACCCTACATAGAGTTCATTGTAGTAACCTAGTTTTAGCACCAGTTCCACTGTGGTATGGTTCGCCCTGTCCAGGAGAGATAATAGCTAGAGAACCAGTCCAAACCGCTAAAAGTCACTCCAAGTAGCCCTGGTAACTTGGGACTGCAGCAACATCCCATCAGTGCTGTCTATCCAGAAATGAGCGTAACTTCTGGACTCAAGAATCAGTCAGCTACAGCGCTCTTCTCGTGCTAGGATTCAGCTTTAGTTTCAGTTTATTGGCCCATATCCAGCTCATCACTAAGGCAAGGCACTGATCGAGGACTTGAAGAGCCTCAGGGTTTTTTTCCAGATACCTAATGACTGTTTCCAGTGGCTTAATAGAGATAGAAAACAGTATCAGGGACAAAATTGTCCAAGATCTTTATGAAACCTCTGCCGAACTCCATAGCTTAATTGCCAAGGAGCCAAGGAATGAAATTAACCCCACGGGTAAGACTGGAACCACTCTGACACTGCACCTGCAATGCCCAGCCCATGGAGTCTATCCTGGAGAATACCATGGTCAATGGTCCTAAATGGTCCTGCTGATGAGAGACAGAGCAGAATTAACAGGGACATACTCCCTCTGTTATTCTCCCAATAAAGTCATCCATCAGGGTGACAAGGGCTGAGTCAGTTCCATAACCAATCTGAAACCCAGACTGGCAGGAGTCTAGATAAGCAGTATCCTCCAATAAAGTTTGTAGCTGCTCCTCCACAACTCTTTCAATTGCCTTCCTTAAGAAAGAGGAATTTGCAACTGAGCAGTATCTATCAAATACTGCTGGATCCAGATCAGATTTCTTCAGAAGTGGTCACACGACTAGGGATGTGTGAGGAATCTGTTTTGGAGGTGAGAATATGCCAGATTTCCTCAGCTCATAGTCCATGCCAAAAAGCTACTTGCATTCCTGAGCATTTGCAGGCTTGATCTCAGTTCAGGGTTAGGGTAAGGGTTTCTAACAGCTTTATTGTATGCGTATATTTCTACAAGTATAATAATCTATACATGCACATTTTAAAAATCTGCATATATTGCCTACTGCCTAGATCTAATGCCCCTTTTTTTCAGGTATCCTTGAAATTGGCTCCAATTAACCCATGCAAAACAGAAAAATGAAATCTCTGCAGCATGGAGGTGCCTCTTGGTAAGATAACAGAGAGCAGTGGTTCTTCACTGACCCAGTTCATAAGCTATCCACGTGGCATGGTTGCTACTGGGACCCTGAATGGTGTGAGTCCATCTCCATGCAAGTAAGCATTTTAGCACACATCCCTTTGAAGCCAGTATCATTCATGTCCAATTAGCAATAGCTCACATCAGCTTTGACGTGAACTACATGTGTCCATGAGCACCCAGATAAAGAGTTGCCCATGCGCTTTGAGTTCCTTGAGTTGCAACAATATTTTAAGGGGAACACCTGCAGGAGGTTTTTCAGTGCTTATGGTGACAAAGCTCCTGCCTCCTTTTTGCAAAGAGTTTCTTTGCAGGCTACCTCTTCTTCTGCTTATCTTTCTAATGCGTCTTGTATAAGATGACTTGTGCCAAGCATCTGAGTCATTAGGACAGGCTGCTGTACATACTCTCCCAAGCTGACCTTATTATGGAATTTATGACAATGCTGGTGATCATTCATAATCATGCAAGTGAAAAGGAAAACAGCACAACATTGCAATGTGCTCTTGGACAGGCAACTGCTTTGCTCTTGGAACCATCATCATCATTATTCATAAATCTCCGAACATCTAACCGGAGATGTTTGGCCTTCTCTGAGGCTTCAGTGTTGCTGCTGTATTTGGATGGGTTCCAAGCCCTCTTCAGGCATTTGTCCTACTGCACTGAATGAGGGCATGAGGAGAGGTGCCCCAGCCATGTCATCTTCCATCGTTCCAGCTGCTCCTCTGAACACAATTGCACGCCGCAGTCTGAACAGGAGAGACTCTTGCGTTCAAGAATGCTCTCCATGTGATTGAAAACCTGGAAGTGGATTCTCTATTTCTTCTGCTGTGTTTTGAATTCACTACTCAGAGGGCAAAAGGAAAGGAAATGCAGCTTTTTAATGTTTACACCAACCAGAAGTGGGGGGAACCCTTTATTAAATCACAGCAACAACGATGAAGAAAACCTTCTGGGTTGTAACATATTACAGATTCAAGGAACAGCCACTTCTCCTTTTCACTCCCTACATCGAAACTGTCAGCACTTAGCATGGATCTGCTTATTGATTTCAGCAATAAAGAAGATTAACTACTGAGTTTGTTCTGGGTCATTTCAGTCTACCAAGGGAAGCTCCAATTGCACACCCAGACCACAAGGCTGTCCTGACAAATCACATGCCTGAAGGTATAAAAGTAGGCAGACTGAAAGAATTGCAGAATTATGACTGTGCAACTGAAGCTCAATAAATTATGCATTGACAAAGTGACTTTCACAAGGGAAAGCCTGCATGCTCAGAGGTCATGAAGGCCATCCTGTTTCCATTTCTATTTCTACAAAGCTGAAGAAGAGAACCCATGTTCAAGGGCTAACAGGATTCTCTATCTATTGTATCAGAGTGAAGAGGATGAACTGGAACTCACCAGGATCAAAACAGAGGGAAAACACTGGGTAGTAAGGAAAAGATTCTCTGGAGAGATTCATCTCTGTATTTTTGCTTGGTAGACAGCATAATTCAGTGGACAAAGCACTGGGCTGAAAGCAGACCTGCATGTCATGGAAGTAGCAAGGGGTCACAACGAGAACTGTATCTCCAAGTGGATTTCTTGCCTCTGACTTCATAACATGCAGAACAACCTATAACATGTCTTGATGTTATTATCCTATACATTTTTCTCAGCCCCTTTTCACTACTGGCAGGGGTGGATAGGCACAAGTTAAGTCATGCTACATATAAAGGAAGGAAAGTAGAAACTCCAAGGAAGGTTGGTGACTTGCATGCAGTGGAGATTCTCATCCATTGCAACTTTTATTCCAGACCTGTAGGACCTTTGATGCTATGATATTGAATTTATTTTGAGCATGGTGTTCAGCACCATGCATAGCTCCTATAAACTCATAATAAATCTGCAGTGGATAAAGAGCCGCACTGACATAGGAATCACCTGCTTGCCTTGTGGAACTCAAAACTGGGCTGCCATCTTGTGGTGCAGCCCATTTTACTTAGAAGATGTTGGTCAAATTACCATTTATATGACCTTAAGGTACATATGGGAAGAGGAATTTCTAAGTTAGGGATGTGCAAGGACTGAATTCCAAGTTGGAGATGTTCTCATGGGCTACATCCCAGTAGCAGGTAAGCTTGAAGACCAAAAAGCTGGGCCAAAATATCATAAATACCAGCATGTTTTCATTTAAAGGCCTTAGAAGAACCACTTAATATTTTGTTGG